GGTAAAGCAGAGGCACTGCGGTGACATTAGCCCTTGTCACTCTTTCTAATGTAACCTCAGCCCCTTTCTTTCTGTCATTAAAATGAGGTTCAATCGTGAAACTCATTGCTTAAATTGGCACACTTTTCTCAAAGTGAGAAGATGGGGAGTCAAATACAGTGAAACAGGAGGAAAAGCAATTTGTAAGTCGCAGCAGCAGCTCTTGACAAACTTCATGGTAAGGGAGAATAAAAGACTGTAATGTGTGCTTTTAGCAAAAGCGGATGGGCTGTAGTCTTGCAGCTTCTCACCTGACTAAAAGAATATGAGTGAGACCATTGTTGATTTCATTATTTAATTGCTATTTTCTTGATCATCAAGTACACATTAGAGTCGTTTTTTGAAACAATGACTTGGTTTGGTTCAGCCTTCAATTGAAACAGACTCATCAGCTCCCAGTTTGAGCTAAGAAAAGAGGCTTTTTGTTCTGTTTGTTTTGTTCTATTTCTGTCAAAAAAAAAATGAAATTATGCCCAACTGAGGACTGGATGATAGGAGTGACAAAAGACTACTTCAGTTTAACGTCCTCATCGATTCCTTCAAGTGTCATTAGGGAGACAGAGGGCTAGATCTTGGGAGGAAGGGATGTGGGAAAGCTCAGTTTTTCCTATTAGAATGAACAGCTCCTCATGTGCCTCAGAGTCATGTTTTCTAACACAGCTATCATTATTGAGTCAAGATCTTCAGGGTCCAAGTCATAGTCTATGATTATGGGGGATAATGCCCCTGATGTTATCAGGTCCTATATGATTAGGTGTTTTCTTGGGGTTCAGGAAATTATTATGTTTTTTTTTATTTTTTTTATTGGTTGTTCAAAACATTACAGCGCTCTTGACATATCATATTTCATACATTAGATTCAAGTTGGTTATGAACTCCCAATTTTACCCCGTATACAGATTGCAGAATCACATTGGTTACACATCCACATTTTTACATAATGCCCTATTAGTAACTGCTGTATTCTGCTACCTTTCCTATCCTCTACTATCCCCCCTCCCCTCCCCTCCCATCTTCTCTCTCTACCCCATCTACTGTAAACATTTCCTTCCAGAAGGAATGTTCTTTGGTGTCCAGAGAGTCCCCGACAATGAGACAACACAATGAGGAGTACCCTGTCATCTGCACTTGAAAGGGGGACACTAGCAAAGGTGGAGAGACCCCTGTCAGCAGGGAGAGAGCTGAGTTACGGTAGCTCATTGCTCACTAATCCTGCTCTTGAGAGATTTTTGAATTGTTGCTTTTCTTATGCAATATTATCTAAAGTCCTATTTATCTCATTTTAAGTTAGCACTCCTACAGTTTTTACTTCCCTCCAAGGAAATACTATATTAAAAAATTATTCATTAACTAATGTGTACCATAATAAATGTGATTCATTTTTAATAAAAATTCCTGCATTTTTACCTTTTTGACCTGAAGCATGCTGTTTGCATAGGCATTTGACTTATTTTCCTCTGGCTTGCCTGAAAGTTGACTTTAAAAAAGGAAGTTCACTTCATGTGCATTAAAACTTATTGCATCTCACTAGGTGTAAATTTGTTCTATATGTTTTTAGTTAAAACAGTGACTTGACCAATATTTAGGAAAAAGAGGACTGAGTATCCACTGGGGAGAATGACAACCCATTAATTAAGATTAGTGTTTAAGGATAATTCACACCTAGCAGCCTCTTAGAAATAAATAATCCAATGTGGGAAAGGGAGGCTGTGGGTATGCCATGTGCTCACTGGTAATGCCAACCCTCATATCAGTTATAAAAATAATGAAATGAAGCAACATGTCATTGGGCATCAAATGCCATTGGACAATTCTTCATGATCTCTGATTTTCAAGCAAATAGAGGTTTGCTAAATGAAAATGAAAAGAAGATGTTACCAGGGGATAAATAATGATATATTCTCACTAGATTTGAAACATTGTTTCTGTGACCAGATTGATAAAGGTTATAAAACGGCACTACAGCTTGATTTTTTTCACCAAGGTTTGGGGTAGGTCCCCGATCCTCTATTCCAACCTGTAGGTCAAACATGAAACTGGTTTTAATTCACATAAGGCAGAGCCAGAAAAGTGTTCACAGTGTTACTTAGAGTCCTAGACTGCTTAAGATTAACAATTTCCTATCTATCCCTAGTTTTTTTTTTCCTTTTGTAAAATTATAAATCTTAGAAGAATTGGGAAAGGTGAATAGGTATTTTTCTTTTTGATCCAGCATCTTAAGCATGGAGCTTCTAACTTCAGCAATAATTCCTCAAGATAAGCACTGAGACAAAATTATATTTTAACTTAGTGAAGAAGGCGGCATAGTTTTATTTTAACTGACTTCTAACTACTGGGCCACATGTAGTCTGGGTTGTTTACAAATGAACAAACTCAGGATCAAAATAAGGAATTCAGCTTCTGTGCTCAAGTGAGAAGAAAGTAGGCTGCAGTCCTGCATCACTTGATGGGGACACATTCTGAAGAAGGCATCCTTAGGTGATGTCATCATGGTGTCAACATCATAGAGTATGCCACACAAACTAAAACAGCTATCTGATAAGATCTTAGGAGACCAGCATCATATAGGCAGTCTGTTGTTCACTAAAACATCACTGACACCATCAATGCAGCATATGACTGTAATCAACATTGGAAACCCAAAGGAGTATTTTCTGAACAGCCATGAGCTAGCAGATTAGGCAAGTTTAAGAACCGTTATTATTACTGTCTTTGATAATGAAATATTTGGCAAATGTCATGGAAAATCTACTACCACTCAAGAGGTTGTACACATAAAATGAAATCTTTCATTATTTATAGTAATTTCCCAAATGTCGATGAGATCAAGTAGAAAGCGACCGCTGTTAACAGTTTAATACTAACTCTCTATCCAACTCACTATGATTCCTTCAGTTAGCTATCTAACCTTCCTGTGTCTCAGCTTTCTCATCTGCCAAATAGATATAATGATATTTTAAAAGTATATGAGTATATATTATAAAAGTATATATACATATACTTAAAATGTGTACCTTAATTCATTTTATGAAAATGAATTTAAAAGGTTATATATATGCTTTTAAAATATCATTATATATAATTTACATTGAATGGATTGCACACATATATGTATGTATTACATGCCTATTTATATATGTACAAATACATATTTATGTACTCATGTTCATACATATTTATATTCATATTTATGTTTATACATATTTATATATGTACATATTTATATGCATAAATGATTAATAGATGAGAGTTCTCTGGCAAGTTAAAAGTATTATTCAATTTTGAGTTATTATTAATAATGTAAGACTTGTGGAAATACAGGGAACAGCCTCTGCTTGCCCAGCTGGCTGTGGGAAGTAGTGTAAAATGTGAGGTCACAAATCATTTTTTGAACACTCATAGTCAATGTCTGCTATCATCTGCAAAGCCTGAATGGGCCCTGGTACCATCCCCTGAGAAGGCAGAATTTCCTCAATAACTCATCCAGGTTTGGATGTACCAGTTTATTCACAGTTTCTTTACTCTGCTGTTAAATACTTAAAAAACAAATGTTAGAAAGACTAGCATTTGGACCTAGTCTGCCCTGGTTACTGTAATAACCTGTCCCCCAGAGGGGATTTACATAGGCCTTCTAGAGAGCCCTTAGTTTGTCATACTGGAAGTCCTTAGTAAGAGGGAGAAGTTGGACCATCTTGCTTTTCTCCACAACTGTCTTATACTGGTGTCCTATTGAGTCACAAAAGCATACATTTCAGGTTGGGACTAGGAAAGAAAACCAACTCAGGTCCAGGGCAAGAATGCACAGTGCTCAGCTTGCTGAGTTCTGGCATTTGAATACTTATGAGTGGCCCAAGGACAAAGGCATTCCAGCAGTCTTAATGCATTTGGTGAATGCCTGGCGCAGAGTAAATACTTCCTCTTTTTATAATGAATCGATGAATGTGAACTGTCTAGTGAATACCCACTTTATTCATAATGGGGGGACACATAGAGGAATATGACAGTCTTATATTGAATGTTGTCATTTACTCCAGAAGATGAAACATGAATATAGGAAATACTTGACTATTTAAATAAAGTTTTTTAGGTGATCAAATAAATGATTTAATGTATAGGCAAAAGAATCCAGACAATTTAAGAGGTATCTTAGGAAGTGGGACTTGAGGGGGATTTGGAAAGAATGTTTGGGATATGGGAAGATGAAAGGAAGTTGCCATTCCAGTACTAGTAATGGCATAAACAAATGTCTAGAAATGCAAACAGGTATTACTTTGGAGCCCTGGGAGGTTAGTATTTAAAACAAAACAGGGTGTGACACATTGTGATGTAACCTGTGGAAATATTCATAAATGTGTACAAAATTGTATATGAAAAGATGTTGATTGTCTGAATTAGCAAAAATTGTGAAGCAATTTAAATTCCATCAGTAGGAAATGGCTAAATAACCACTGGTACATTAACACCATCAAATACGCTAGGAAATAGTTGAGAAGAATGAAGCAAGTCTTTGTGTGCTGACATACAAAGGCCACCAAGGAAAGACCTGACAGTGTATTAATGGAGAGAATGCATTTATGTAATACCTGTTAACTTTGAAAATTGATTTTAAAAAAATCAAAGTGGTGCTTCAGGAAGATTAATGTGATGGCATTGTACTGAATTAAAAGGGAGTGATTAGAAGTGAAGAGAAATGTTAAGGAGACGTGTGCAGGAGCGCAGATGTCCACCGCCAAGGGTGGAGACCTAGCTAGTAAAGAGAAAAAGAACCCAGAGATACATATTCTGATGAATGATTATGAAGGACTTCATGACAGATTTTAAATTAGAGGATAAAGAAGAGAGAACAATTATTCTCTGGCCTAATTGTACGAAATACACCCTGAAAAGTGATTGCTAATAACTGGGACAGACTGGTGCTAATAGGAAACCTTTAAGAAATGTTTCATGTTTTTGTTTCACAGGATGGAAGAAACAGTACGAAATCTATTGCAGAGTCAAGGACCTACAGAGCAGAAGAGAGAAGAATCTGTTAACATAATGACCTATCAGGTACACCATGTTTCTGACTCTTGGCTGTGTATCGGTTGGCTTGTTTTTCTTGCTGATAGCCACGTAGTCACCTCTGGTTTGAGGAATTAAATGCATGTTTAGTTGTCATTTTTTCTTCCCTTAAACTCCTACTTTGAAACAGATCACAAGATTTGATTGTAGTAAGATGCAAAAATATAGTGAAACAGGGAGACTTATAAAGGCAGTGCATTGCCCTGTGGTCAGGGTTATGAGAGAGGTATCTGCAATGTTCTCCGGGACCACAGGAGAAGCAGTGACTCATCCTGTCTGAGGAGCTGAGGAGTGCTCACCAGAGGTGTGACATTTGAGGTGAGTTTGAAGAGGAGAGAACGAGGGGAAGGGCATTCCTGATCATGGGGAACCTAGACTAAGGTGCAGTAGCCTCTTGACAGCAAGACCGTGAGGTTAAGTTCAGGGTAACTGAATAATGGCTTGGTGAGATATAGAATTTGATGATGAGACCAAGGGTATAAAGACCATGGTGAGTTCTGGATCTATATGGTGTGACCAGGAATCTGGCCCTTTACCTGGCAGTGTGGAGTCTAAAGAGGTCCAGAGAGTAAGGGTTCATTTAAGTAACAAGTCAATATCTTCTCTTGATGGTCATTATCCCATAGTCCTTTGACACTAGCAAGGTGGCCAGGTTGGTGAGCAGGACATATAATTTGAATATGGCACCCATTGGATGATGAGGCTTGTGCAGGATGGAAAAGGGAAGTACAACAGAAATAGCACAGGGGCTCTATATGGATAGCTGCAGGATTTTTATTGGAGATCACTTAAAATCACAAATAGAGGCCTGACGTTCACTATACAACTATATATGGCAAGCTAAAAAAGCTAATGAAGGCAAGGAATTGGGCAGACATTTGAGATGACCACTGGAAAGCCCTAGTTTTACTAGTAAAAATCAAGTGAGTTTGGGGAGACAAGCACAGAAAGCCATCTTTTGAGGATAATTTTGCATGAATTATCTGAATTCATGAGTTCAGAGTTCTGCAACCCAGTGTATTATGAAGAGGAGAGGGAATGGGATCTGATAATAAAAATCAAGGTACCATGCAGGGTTGTGAGATTGTGGCATACTTAGATTTAAGGAGGCTGTGCTTAAATAGTTGACTCTTGAAACATACATGGGATGATTCTACAAAAATAAGGACAACTCTTCCCCATCTCCAGTGAACACACTGCAAGGAGTTGACTTGAGATATCTCAGAGGAAATTAAAATTAGCTCCATAAAGACAACAGAAAGTTCACTAGATCCTATTCCTAGCAGGAAAATCTTTTGAGGTGGATAAGAAGGGGTTATCAACAGAAAGCTCCTATTATTGTTCAAGGAATGTGTTCCTGAATTTTGTGGTCTTCACAAAATTATTCAGCTTTTCCTTTAAGATGGCCACCTAAATTTAGGACATTTAAGTCCTACTAATCTGAATTATTCCTAGATATGTGTATTTGCTTGGATAGAATGGTGAGATACAGGAAAAAAAGTGGGACTTGACTGAACATTGACTAGTTCTGTTCAACCTAAAGGAATCATGAATCTGAAACAGGTCATTTTCTCCCCTTACAGGTAACACCAGGCTCCATTAAAACTAAACAATACCACATTTCACTTAGGCTTTATTTTTAATTTTCTCACTGTGCATTTCTTATCCAGATTCTTATTTCCTTTAGGTTATTGCCTCCCCAATCTCTCTTCCCATTATTAACCAAGTGTGTATTGGAGACTCTTATCATTATCAGAATTCACTTTGTGAAACTGGAAACTAGTTTGAAAATAGATACACTAATAAAACTGTGTTTTGAAAATATTCCCTCTCCAAAATTCAGTCTGTTGGTTTGGGGAAATGAGCTCTTCCCTCTAGAGAGAAGACAAGTTATTGAATGCTACACAAAGGGAATGTTGCAGTCATTGTTCTAATTGGTTATTGGTTCCTTGTCTGTAAAGTGGGAGAGGGACATGGGTTACATGACCTGTAGAGGTCATTTGTACATTCAACAAATATTTTTTGAATTTGTAAGACATGTGAGGCACAACCTTGTGCTCTTGGAATTTAGGAAATGAGCACAAAGAGAAGGGAAAAGGTGGCTGGGCAGCACTGAGTCCCAGGGAGGTCCCCTTCATCTCTTAAATTCATTAAACTATTATCATAATAGCAGAGTAATAGTTATCTGTGTGTGGGCCCATGATTTGTATGCATGAAAGGAGGCTGTGTTTTGTTCAAGGAGTATGTTCCTGAAGATCTCATGTGTTCTTTGATAATTTATGTCTTGTGTCATTCAACATGAATTCTCTTAAAGATGGTGGGTGTTTCTGTTCAGCAATCAAAGCATTCCCATCATGTTGCAATCAGGGATTTATAGTTTACCAACCTTGCCATTGTGCAGTTCTTGACTTTTATTTTAATTTGGAGAATTTGCATGATTTCAAGTTTTATGCATGAAGTGATAGTAAATATTTTGTGGCCTTGATTTCCAGATTGCCTCATTCGGAGCCTGATCAAAAGTTACTCCACTTTGTTCAATCAGTCCCCACAATTTTCGGTGGGAGAGCCTGACCCTATTCTCATTTTACAGGTACGGACATGTGGCTCAAGAAGCAGTGGGCACTTGCCTGAGGGTGCACATCTAGGAAGTAGCATAGAAAGAATGTGAACCCTGCTCAATCTGACTCCACAGCTCCTACACTCAGAAATTCTAGAGAAATTAAATGATAGGACCCAAATTACCCCATGGTGATTATTCAAAATGGGACCTGAACTGGGCCTGCCTGCTTTCTACTTATAACCCCTTCATCCCTCCATCACCCATTCATTCACTTGGTCTCTCATTCAAATGATAGTTATTCATTTATCTTCTTATGGAATTACGTTTGTTTCTTCTAGCTGCTATGACAAACTTACTGACTTAACACGGATTTGTTCCCTTTTAATTCTGGAAATCAAAAATCTTCAAGCAAGGTGTTGTTGGCAGGGCTACATTCTTTCTGGAGGCTTTCAGAGGAGAATCATTTTGTGCCCTTCACAAAATCTGCCATTCCTTGGATTCTATCTTCAAAGCAAATCACTTGTCTCTGCTTTGTCATCACATTTTATTTTCCCAATTTTGCTTCCCTTGTCTAAGGATCCTATAACTACAGTGAGCTCAATTGGGTAATCCAAGTTCCTTATCTCAAGATTCTTGAATCCCATCTGCTCAGGAGTTTGAGGCAGAAGAATCTAAAACTCTAGATTCTGAAAAGAAGGGTTGGATATGCAGCTCAGTGGTAGATATCTGCTCAGCATGTTTGAGACCTTGGGTTCAGTCCCTAGTACTGAGATCCAAACAAATCTGCAGAGCCTTTGGCCTTGTAAGGTCCCATTTTATCAGGTTTTAGGAATTGAGATGAACATCTTTGGGGAGGAGGGCATTTTTCCTTTTGCCACACTTGGTCATGCTCACTAGCCTAACAATGCCCAGCAGACATGAAGCTAAATTCTGGAGATTCAAAGATGCCTGACTTAGGCTCAATTTATATGTTACTGCAGGTCAGGAAAGGGAGAAAATAATTGCATACCTTTAATGGTGTGAGAGAAGCCAGAATAGAAGCTTGCACAGCTTCTGTGCAAGGAGCATGCGCCATTGGGCCTACTGTACTGTTCTCCCTGGAGACTCCACCACCTGCCTTGGACTCATTTTTAATAACCAGTTTTCCTTTTGGGTTGTCTCTTAAAATGGACATGAGAGTCATGAGCTTCGTCATGAGTCCCATGGTCTTCATTTCTCAAACCATTTTATGTCCCTGGTGCTTTAGGATAGAGTCTATCTGTCAGGTCACATATATTTGATGCTATAGTTTGCAAAACACTGATACAAAATAGATCTCCTTTGTTTGCTCCAGCAGCCTCTAAAATAGATATTGTCATGCTCATCTTAGGACAAGGCTCGTAGAGGTCTGTTTGAACTCTGGCAGATGCTAAGTGCTAGAACTAGAAATAAGTCACAAATTCTCCTAGAGGAGATATAGAGAATTAGCTTGAACAATATCTGTGGGATATTTTTATGGCAGCAGGATAAAAAGTGGACACAGTTTAAAATCCCAGGTCACGAAGTCACTATTTCAAAATTAAAAAATAGAAAAACAAAGTAAAGTAAGAAAAAAAATAAGTAAAAGTAAACTGAGATAAGTTAATAATCCGCAAAAATGTTGAGCCTCATTTTCCCTGTGGGAGAGACATTATCATTATATTTAGGGCAGGTGCCATGCGCACTTAGGACACACTTGTCTCATTAGAGGAAAATATAAGACCTGGAAAGATTGTCTTTAGAAGAGTCCAAGTTAGAATCATTCCCTTCTGCTCTGTTTGGTTTTTCAGCTCATTCTCTCTAGGTGTTTTAGGGTTTCTTATGTGTCATACATTCTTACCACACATATCACCATTTTATTGAATTAAGGAAATTTATGTTAGGAAAAAAAATCACAATTAGATATGAGAGAGGGTAGTTAAAAATCAGTGAAATAGAGCAGCTGATTGGAGGGAGATGTCATTCTTCCAGTTTCATCTGTCCTCATGTATACACACAGCCTGGATATGTGAGATGTGAATAACCATAACATTAAGAGGGGGTTCCCCCAGTATAGGCCCTTTGTGTCTCTGTATAGCTACCTTTTGTGGTTCTTCATCGTAGCTGATGTACTTACACTTGTTTCTACTTTTATTTATGGAAGATGAATTGAATCACATTAGCTAACTCATTTAAGGAAAAAAAAAATACATGTAAGTAGAAATAACAAGTGGAGGAAAAAGTCCCACATGTGCAAACAGCTTTTGCCATTAATAAGACTTCTGAATTCATACAGTCACTTAAATTCTCTGGTTACTTGTTTTTTTGTATTTTTAAAAGAAGAGATTTTAAACTAAACTATGGAGCACAAATTCTAAATGCCTATTGTCATTAATAAAAAAGAGTTAAAGTAAGCACTGTACTCTTTTAA